CGCGATAAAGTGGTGATCCTTTATTCTTGCACTCCTCTTTTTTTCTTTTTTTTTGGTAATGTGATTTTAGCGTAAATTGAAATTTCTTCGCAATTGTCGGCGCTTAATGCTGTCTACAACGAAAGCTTTCTTTTTTCATTTTTAAAGAATTCATTTTTCCATTGAAATTTCTTAATCTTTATTTTGTAATAATTTAAGTTTAGGGTAGATTTAAATTTCTTTGCAATTGTTAGCATTTGGTACAGTATATAACGAAAGCTTTTTTTTCATTTTTAAAGAATTCATTTTTCCATTGAAATTTCTTAATCGTTTTTTTTTTCTTCTTGGTAATATGATTTTAGCGCAGATTGAAATTTCTTAATACAGCGTGTAAAGAAAGTTTTCGAGCTCAGATTGCAAAATCTTTTGATTCACGAATCTACCGAATTTTTTTAATTTTAGAAACTTGTAACACTTGTCATTTATCATATTTGTCAATTTATGAAAGTATCGTGCTTTCTATTTACCCGTCTGTTATTCTACCACGATGAAGTATCGAACTTGGAGTTTACAGACTTGCGTTGAACACTGTAGGACGTTTTTCTATGGAAATTACTTGTTGATTCGTTCCATCCGGCAAATAGGATAATTTCCTTTTTTATTACGAACATATTGCGATGTCGATTCTGGCTATATCGAAATTCGATTACCCAGTACTTGATGCCTTGTTTTGCTCGCGTTTCGGTGCAGCCATGATCTCTATTTACGCAAAATACTGATACCGATTGCAAATATTTTGCTTCCTTCGTTGCGGTCAACTTTTTACTCGAGATACACGATTGTTTTTATTGTATCGTACTGTCGATATTGCGACGAACAGCTTTATTTCATGGAAAGTTTCTATCCTGCGGCGATATTTATCGTGTACACAAGGTAAATATTAATTTACATCCGAGCGACAGATGTAAACGAGGAAAAGTATTCGTGCATAAAAGTCATGAATTGTTACGTACAAAACTCGATTAATATTTTCAGACAACTTTTGGTAGTTTCCTTAGACACTCTTAATTTACAATCTTAATCAAATTTGCAGTAAATTTCATAAAAGAATATTTTAGAAATTCTCTTTGAAATAGAAAAAGAGAACACTTTTTTCCTGCAGAGAATCGAAAAGTATTACACTATCGCTCTATACTCAAATTTTAAATAAATTCCAAGCAAATTTCCTCCAAATTGTCCCAGATTTCAGAGGTTGAATTTCCTCCGATAGAAGCTTCAAAAATTTTCACTTCGAATTTGAAAGAAAAAAGTAAATTTCACTTCGAATTTCAAAGAGAAAGAAAATTTTCAGATTGATCTACCTACGATTCTCCTTGTTTCACTTATTCCTCGTTGCAGATAAACATTCCCAAAGCTCGACAAGCTACATAATATCACCTTTTAAAAAATTTATCGTTCGCATCGCCGGTGCAAATCGATCGTTGAATTTTCCACGAGGGAAGCAGCCTCGATCGCCGTCGTTCAATCCTGGTTTGCTTATCGTTTATTTATTTCCCGTGGCGTTTCTCCTTTTTCCCCCCGCGAAACTGCGGATAAACACGGCAGAAACTGAAATCGTACGAAAGCCGGGTAAAGCTTAAAAGCACGATAATCGAGCCGAGGAAAGAAAGGAGGAACCGACGAATTCTTGCGCCGATTTTTTTTCACTCCGATCTGGAAACGTTTTCGCGAAATATCAGCAGACGATGCGAGCTCTTGTTCCCCCCCTTGTATTATTCGGATAAATAAATAAACAGCCCGGGACAAGGCGTGCTCGTTTGGCTTTCAGCGATATTTTTTTGGAGGGAAAAAGAAGAAACGGAGGAGAAAAGAAGAATTCAATGGGACGCGTTGTACACGAATAGTCTTGATGCTCTCGCGGTGAATCACGTCGAACGAGATTTATTTATCGGATCGGCGGGAACCACCAGGGGCACAGTTTCTCCGCAATGACGATCGATAAGCTGACGAACTAGCGGCTATCGTCACGCGGTGAAGATTTGTGCGTTTTACGCTCGTTCCTATCGATTTGTGCGAATGTTTGGTTATTAGAGGTTAGGTTAGGGTTCTTTTTGAGGTTAACGTTGCGGAAGGTTTAGCGTCGGATGTGTTTTATGGCGAAGGATGAGTTGTGATTCGTGTAAGTTAAGTTTCGAGTGATTTTCTTCTAATTTCCAAAGATTTCTTTTTGCTTTGCTTTTTAATCTGCAAACTTTTTTTCTTACATTTCTTTCCAGTTTTTAATTAGATTTCAGTAGCTACAGAGAATTTCTGCGTAGTAGAATTAGAATTCTTTCGGCTTTTTTTAAAATTTCGAAACATTTATTTCTCAGTTCCTTTTCAATTTTCAAATAGATTTCGATAGCTATGGAAAAGAATTTTTGCGAGGTAGAATTAGGCGTTTTTTTAATTTCCAAAGATTTCTTTTGGCTTTTCTTAAAATTTGGAAACGCTTTTTTTCTTCAATTTCGTGCCAAGTTTTAATTAGACCTCAACAGCGCTAAAGAATAATTTTTGCGGCTATTAGTTCACTAGGCGAAACTGAAATTAGAGAAGAATTGGGTCACGGGGAACTACAATAATATTAAAATCAACAGAATACTTTAATATTCCAGGATTAAAGAAAATATAAAAAAAAAATAGTAATAATTACCATTAACCACATCTGAAACTTTCTCATCCTTCATCGATAACAAATTTATCACTCTCCGCTCAGAATTTGAATCGACAACAATCTTCCATAAAAATGAAAGATTTGAAACACAAAGCAGAAATATTTCAGCACTCCAATTAAATCTCTCGGCGAGAGCAGAGTGGCGAGGCGGAAATTTCGTACCGGAAGTGTTTGCACGGTGAATCATCTTAACGCTCCAATCAGCGTTGGCTAATATTAACGAGTGAAACTGGGGTTTATCGGCGGGGGGTGGTTTTTTTTTTTTAACGTGGGATAAGCAGAGGTTTGCCTAGAGGTCCGAAATCACGGAACAAGGCCATTCGGATCCC